ATTTTTATAAATTGCCATTTCTGGCCATTTAACGTGGCTCACATAGGTTTAGCCTTGTCAATGTGCCAGTCTTACGAGTCTAAATTTCTAGATTTTGCTGATCAAATGGAGATGCAAATCATGAAAAAGGTTAAAAAAGAAATAATTAATGGTAATTATTCTTCTAATGATCAAAATGAATGTTTTCGCGAGGTGAATATTGACAAAACTATAAATATTTGTAGAAAAGATACAGGAACAATCGTTGATATCAGGGATACGATCCATAAGTTTATGGAAACTTTGGAACAACATAAAGAGTTAAATTTATATCAAATTTTTTAATATTTTTTTCTTCCTCTAATTTTGAATCTAGGTTATATCCTGACGCAGATCTCCAAACTTCTTCCAAAATCATAACCCTCATGCGTTACATGATGTATATCTCAAATTATTCTAATAATTTTTATTCATGTGATTCATACAATCATGCAACCCATCAAAAATCTACATTATACAAAAATGATATGGGTAACCGAACAAAATGGAACAATTTTCAGTGGCTAGGAGGCAGTTTTCCTCAGAGAGAAACATTTAGCTTGTTTGCTATCTATTCCGACTTAAATAATGATGATTTGATTGATGTAAAAAAGAGAGATTAGATATTGTTTTGTATAAGTCAAGATATTAAATGAGTCTTTGGTTAAGGGAAAAATTCCACTTCAACTTGATTATAAGTAATTTTATAAGATTCAAGCAAGAAATAAACTAAAAAACCTTATTAAATGTGATCATCTGATTTTTAGTTTACATTAATTTTTAAATTGTATATTAACTTTATTTATATTAAAATAAATAGCATGATATATATTAGAGATCTGCAAAGTTAGGTCCTGCCCGTACACGAGTCCGGCCCGAACTGGCTTCGGGCCATTCTATTTAAAATAATCATGTTCGGGCCGGTTTTAATATTTTTAAAAAAAATTCGGGCCGGGTCGGGTCAGACCTTGGAAATTTTTTAAATATATCTAAATTTATCAATTTTATATTAAATTTTTTATGTAAAATAAAAATATATGATTTTATTTATCGAAACTAAACGACATATAACATATGTCTTTTATTTTGAGTAATTATAAAAATTAATTTATATATTTAAATAAATTCGGGCCGGGTCGGTTAATTTTTTTAAAAAAGTTCGGGTCGGGCCGGCAAAAATTTTTTTAAAAATTTCGGGTTCGGGCCGGGCCGTTAATATTTAAAAAAAAATTCGGGCCTGGCCGGGCTTGAAAAATTAGGCTCGATGCAGATCACTAATATATATATCTATATTAAAAAACATTTAAAAAAATATATAAAATAATTATTAAAAGAATATAAAATTATAATTAACATACTATTTCTATATTCTATATAAAAATAAATAATTAAAAGAAGTGAAATTTTAAAAAAAAATTTAAATGATATATTTAGGTATGGTGGGTGGTGGGGAGGCTTAATAAGCCATGTATGGGTATGCATTTGGTTCGACAAATTTGGATTGATATTTTTTGTCGTAGGATAGAGAGAGTCCTTCTTTTGAATCACCTGTGATTAAAAGTAACCTTTGCCCTATTGTTTTGAATAATTTTAGGGCTTGTGGTCCAAATGATACACAGGTGTCTGAGACTACCGGAACAAACAAAACATTATAAAGGTGGTTACATTTATTGTTTTTATATTTTCAGCTTCTGGCAAAACGATCTACACATGTATAATCTCAACCTAGGGGTATACCTTGGTTCCATGAGACAGCGTCATTCCATCAGGTCTGGTTTGATTATCAGACCTGAGGCCAGAGGGTTCCAGCATAGAAGGAATATTTGTGGATTTCAAGATTCTTTTGGTGATTGAATTTATGGCCTAGTGCCGGGGTAATCTGCCTTTTGAAAAACGACAGTGTAGGGGGTGGTGTCCAAGGATATCGATATAAGTTTTACATAGGACACATAGTGGGCGTTACGATTTCACAGTTTTGTTGGTTAGTACAAGCCTAAATTAAAACTAGGTATAGTTTCTAACCATTCTTAACTAAGGTGGCACATGGCTGAGGTTGGAATTATTTGATCCAGCAAAAGAGTCGTATTGTTGTTATTCTGTATACTCGGGGTTGGGTTTAGGTCTAGAAAGAGCGATGGAGATTTTCTTTGAACTGCTTTGAAGTATAGGTATTCTACGCAATGTTGCATCAATGGTAAATTCCAGTCCCTTGGTCTTAAAGAATTTGGATATGAAGGTCTTGGAGCATTTTTTATCAAGAGGTCTAATGCTGCCATATGATGTGGATACATACTATACAATTCTCCAATTGTGTATCGAAATTTAGCAACTGAGGATAAAAAAGTGAAACGATTAAGAATATGTGGGAATGGATACCTATACCACCTAGATTTGTTGGAAGGGCAGCTTGCATCCAGGAAAGTGATGAGAATTTGATATTTAAAATAGATTCGAGAGTATTTTTTTATATGAACTTCAAGGTCTAATAATATTTCAAACGACATGAAAATTGCTATGTAAAATTTTAGAAATGAATAAAAAAAATAAAGTAAATAAAAAGCCTAATGAGCAGGTAACTGTTTTAAAATATTTTTCATTTTATTGAATTTGGCAAGAACTACATCTCTGAAATGAAATATAGCACTTTCACCTCTAATAGGTATACTTAGGTGGGTAAAGCTAGTTTTTTCCACTACAATAAAATTCTTAGGTAGGCAGTCTGATTCAAGAGGGGAATAGAATTAACACTTATTAGGATTTAGTGACAGTCCAGTTATGGGGGCTAAGCGATTTATAATTGTAGAATTTTTTATGATTTCATTATATGGGCCCACTAGTGTTCCGTCATCAAGGTAGACATTTAATGCAAGGTCACAATTTGAAGATATATGATTACAATGCCCTGACAGAATAATGCAGGACCTAAAGGATCTCCTTGTTGGATGATGCCTTGTTTAGAGAGAATGATTGAATCATTAAATTTTAAAAAGTGGATTGGTTGTAACATGCTGTAATGTATGTTGAATACTCTGGGAATATTAAAATGTTCCCTTCTAAGTGAATTGAAGGCATTTTATAGATCTATTTTGAGGATGCATTGTTCATGTGTATTATGGAGGATGACACTTGTTGAGTGGGATGCTGCTTCACATCCTCCAGGAACATTAAAACCAAGCTGGATAGGTTTGATTTTATACGGGAGCAAATTATTTAAAAATTATACGCCAGAATAATAACCCTACTGCAATAGGTCTGATGTCACCATTTGTTTTCTTTAAGGTTATTAAGCGGACTCCAAAAATGATGGGCTGAATGGTGTTAGGAATATTATTATAAAAAATAGTTAAGCAATATAGTAAACTGTGTGAGTCTATTTTGATATATGGGTAAGGTTGGTTTAATTATATCTTGTAGATATATGGCTTGAAGGCCATCAATGCTTCTCCAGAAGAATATTTTTTGAATGACATGATTGCATCCAATATTTCTGCATCAATTAGTGGAATGGGATTATTAGGTGGAAGGATGATTTGTGAAAAATCTAAAGGATGTCTAGATTGTATGGCTATGTAAGTTTTTTCATCATTGTGAGTCATAGTATCATTGGAACAAGCTATGTTGATAGCTGATTTTACATAGCATAAATTGATTTTATTTTCAATAAGCTTAGCCTTTTTTTATCTGTCAAAAGCTTTTCGAAAGAATATATAGGTTGTTTGAATATATCAAAATAGCTATAGTATAATTTGAAATGTTTTTTTGATATTTTGTTTGATTTTGATGTTGGAAGGTGTAGATTTTAATATGTAAATGATAAAAATTTAATCCACATATCTAATATTTCTTTAAAATTTTATAAAAATCAGAGATTCATTATTTTTTTACAAAAATTAATTTATCTTAGGACTCAATAAAATCATGTTTTTTCTAGAGAGATTTAAATCTTTCATTAAATTTTTTATATATTAGAAATTTTAATAAGCTAAAAATAAGTAGTTCAATATCAATGAAGTGAAATAGTATATAAATTAGTTGTACTTTTTTTAAAACCATGGTTCTTTAAAATTTTAAAATGTGTTCCAGTGCCTAAAAATTTTAAAAGGGTTTTTGGTCTATGAATTTGTCCCTGTTTATGTTCCAAATTGATTATAATTGAATTATATTTTTTATTAAAAATCAAATAATTACAGATTTATGCAAGCACAAATCTCCAAATACATGAATGATGAATAATCTTGAAATATGATCAAAATCAAAAATATTTTAATTTATAAAAGAATAAGGATTATTAATATATTGTATACATTTAATTATACACAATAAAAAATATTAGTTTAAAAAACTTAACACCATGTGATATCAGACGTTAACTTTTCATTTATCAAAATTTGTGTGATTTTTGCATTTTCTTTAAAATTTGTGCTATAATTTAATTTTTCTGGATATAAAGGAATATTGGTATCAATTAAAATAGGTGTCTTATTATAATCATTCTCTAAAAGTGGTTTGATTTCAGCGATAATTTCTTTTATAGATGCCATATCTTGTAGTAATTGAATATCATATTTCCTGATTTTTTGCTATAAATTTATAAAATTAAAACAATGTTGCAATTAAATATCAGCCCAGTTAACATGGTTGTTATGAAAATTATGGGTCAACTTGGCAGTAAAAATGCTTTGCATGAGTTCCTCCCCCCACCTGATATAATTTTAGATATGAGCCATAATTTTGTTTCCCTTTATTTAAAAATATATAATTATCAGAGACTTAAAGTTTGAAAGGCCAAGCATATAAAATAAAAAAAATTTATAATTTGCCTGCTCCAGAATTCTTAAATTTGAAAATTATTTTTTAAATAGAATGTAAAGCAGTAATGAATATTAAAAACACCATTATATGATTTTCCAACTAAAATCCCAATTTATTCTTTTAAAATTGGTCAAGCCTAGACTTAAAAAATTGGGCCTGCAAGTCTCTGATAGATATACTTAATTTAAAATTTAATTATGCATTCGCTAAAATTAACACCCATTGTTGCTAAACTAACTTAATAATGAATTAGCTTGATTTCCTTAAAATCCAATTGTAATATTAATATACAGTTTATAGGTGGTTACTATTTATATTAGAAATTTGACAAACGTTCAACAAGAAATATTAATTTGAAATAAAAAAAATAATATATTTCCATATCCATACCAATTTCTTAAAAAGTTTTTCATTCTCACTTTGTTTAACTTGCTCAAATTTCATATCACATGTTTTCCAAGAACATATTTACTAAAGGATCACGAAGATTCAATAACTCGAGCAGATCTAATGACAGCTGTCAAAAACTTTTATAAATATCACATTCAAAAATTGCGAATTTATATAATGCACTTTACAACAAAATGTAAAATATTATAAATTAACATTTTCATAAAGTCAAGGATAGAAGTTTTTCATAGTCCTGCGGTCTTTTATGTGGCATATCTAGGAATTTTTATAGGGAGAAGGGTGGGTGGTCTACACCTATAAAAGCTTGTGAGCTTCCCTTCGGCCTGGTTTATTTTAAAATTATATTTCATAAAAGTATCTATAATATATAATTTATAAGGAACTTCGTCACCATGTTCCCATCGGTGCGGATGAGTTCATTTTTACCCGGCCTTCATCAGGGTTTATGTCTATGGAATATCTTTCAAATTTTGATTATATACCCAATAATTAAGGAACTACTTTGAATATTTAAATTGTTAATTGCTTTATTTTTTAATATGTACAATCATTTATAAATAGACATACCTTTTACTGAATTAAAAATTGGTCAAGAATAGGAATCCCTTATCTTAATAAAATGAGGTTGAAATGCATCTATTAAATTAAAAAATTAAGTGATCAAGTAAAAATATTTACTTATTGATAGTGTTGTTAAAGGGCTCGATTTTTAAAAACGGCTAACCAGTTAGCATAAATTAGTTAAGTCCAAGCCTTTCAACCATCTATGAGAAAAATCACCAGGCTCCAATAATATCTTTTTGCTAAAATATTGGGATAGCCGTTTAACATCTTTACTTATTGAGATAACAATTAAGGAACTACCTTGAATATTTAAGTTGTTACGTATATTAAGTGTTTTTATTATTTTAATCTGTATGATCATCAAATAATTATTTATAAAATAACAATAAATGTTTTTATGTAACTTTATTTTATTTTCATATAATAATCATATGTTGATTTTTCACCATTTTATTTTTGTTTAAGACTAAAAGAATTAAGTTTTAATAATAAAATGACTTAATACCACAAGGGGAACAATATTTATTCAAAATGAGCTATAAAATTCCTTAAAATGCTATTTAAATAAAGTATTAATTAATTTTCTTATGGATGATAATTTAATTTTAAAAGAGGTGGTGCTTTAGCATTTAGCTAGTGGCGCCCCTGTTTTGAACTAAAAAGAAAACAAAAAATATATCCCATATTTTGTAACTATCATTACCTTATGTCATAATCTTATAAAGTTTAAATAAAACAAAAAAAACAGCTGCTTTTTTGAATAAAGATGTGCTCAAAAAAATTAAGAATTTACAAAATAGGGCTAGCTAGAACGTATTTCTAGAAAGAAATTGTTTAATATAATAAGTTTAGGTAAATAAAGTTTATGGTTTAGAGGTTATATATAACAAATGAATAGACGAGCGGATTTGTCTGACTTTCTACTTAATTTTTCTAATATAATTCTAAAAAAATATATATGTCGTGAGGTTAAAATGATATATCCAATGCCTCTTCCACCTATATTATCATTCAATTTTTTAAACCCACCTTATTCCTATTTAGATCATTAAGTAATTATTCAACCAAATTTATAATTCCCTTAAATTAAAATGAAAATAATTAAAAAAAATTTTAATGTATAATTTAATTCAACTCCTTAGAAAATTCACAGGTTTCTAATATTTGAATGGATCATTTTCGATCGATGGAATATAGCCCACGCAGATATTTTGGAGCGTCAACCGGACTGACAATCCCCTGCATTGATCTTCTATTGTGATTTGTTTTATTTTACTCTCTTTGTTTCAATTTCAATCGATTAATTATATAATAATCATTAAGTTTTTATAGGATCCCTGATAATTTGAAAGCTTACGGAAGTGTTTTGAAGATGCTGCTACATTTATTGCTGTAATATTGTATTTTATTAGGGTATTATTCAAAACTATGATAGGGATGTTTTATATAAATATTTACAAAAATCTATTTATTTTTTTACAATTTGTCGACTTTAAATGATTTAATAATTATATTTAGTTCATATACTAATTCCCGTTACACATTTATTTAAAAAAAATTTGCAGTTTTATGAAGATAACATGAGAGCTATTTTTGTTCTGAAATCAATAATACTGTTCACAAGTAAACCAGAATAAAATTGCTGTTTAGGTATATTATTACAATAAAAAAATATATATTTAATATTCATTATATTTTCTAATGATTTAAACCCAACTTCGAGAGCCCGATTTAATTTTAAATCTTAGCTCAATGATTTTAGCAAATAAGTAAACGATAAATAAGTTCACATATAAAAAATTCATTGCATTATATTATATATCAATCCAAATGTATCGGACCATTCATCTTTTAAAGTTTCAATATTAAATCATGATGCTATTTCTTGCTTGAAAAAATCACTTAATGATTCAAATCGCTGGCATTAAACAAATTTTAATAACCCGGACATGAAGAAATGAAATATTATTTTATAATTATATAAAGAAGTTAATAAAAAAAAAGTGAAAACCCAAAATTATATTTATAAAAATAGAATATAACCAAAGACCTAAAATAAGTTGACTAAAGACAAGTTATTTTTGTTACTTTCAATTAGCGCTTTCATATCCTCTCGTCTATTGTGTGCCCCAATAAGTAAACTCACTTATATCCCTGACCCTCTGCTTGCCACCGATAGGTCTTTAGAAATATTTTTTGTTAGTCGATCGTCCCTCATTGCTCCCTTTTTTTTAATTGATAACTTCTTCGCATACTTTAAATCGAAGAGCCTAAAGGACCCCTACTCTATTCATCTCCACAGAATGGCTTTATTTATCGAAGTCTTACCATAGAAATTCAAACCAACTGCTAAGTAACGATTATTTATGTCGTGCCAAACTTTCAGGATTAACTTTGAAATCTTAATACCTTAAACTTATTACAATTAAATCCTAATTATTTAGGTTAATTTCAATTGATTTTTAATTATTGCCGGACATTTTGTTTTTATGATGTTATTGTTATAGAATTCATAAAAATGGATTATATATATATGTAATAATTAGTTTTCATTACATTATGTTTATAACTTTTATTAGCATTGTCGAAAACCTAGATAATACCGATTTTTAAAAACGATAATTATTTTTATTTGCTTAGGGATTTTGCATATAGATAACCGTTTTGGTATTCTTTCGACTAAATCTAGAGGCCTAAATAATATTTTTCGTTTTTAAAAATAGAAATCTAGATTTTTGACAAAACTAATCACAATCATTATATTTAACTAATGTCCTTTATTCATTTATTTTTACAAAAAATTTGCAATTTATCTGATGAAGATGAAATTAGAACCATTATTAAATTAATTAAAATTATTATTCACAAATAGTGAAAAAATGTAAGATAAATTTGTTTTTAGTTGCAATTACAATAAATAAACAAATTAGACGTATTTGATTTTTAAAAAACATTTTAATTACTTGAAAATCCAGTTTGAAGAAAGAATGGGTTTTTAATTCTAAATTCCAACTCAATGTTGATATATTAGCAAACGAGGAATTCATTACGAAAAATTGCCTCAGTTAAAAAAATAATGTATTATATTATATCCATTATCTAACAATGTAAAAGTATCTGAAGATACTTTATTAGGTTTCGATATTTGAAAGACGCTTTACTACTTAATACATAGCAGCTAGCGTGTCTAAATTCTTTACATCAAAAGAATTTCAATCCACCCCCTCTCCTCTTTTCTTTTTCTATAGTTATGACCACGTGATAAAATATAAATATCTTTTAATTAAATTATACAAAACAAAAATACAGCATTAACAATAAAAGAGTTAAACATTTTGGAGAATGCTAAATAATGGATTTTCTATGGTTTTTTCGTTGACTTAGTAATCCATCTGAATATACCTCTCTTGTTCTTAATTGATTTTCTCATCGCCGACTCTAAATTCGTTAATATAAATATTTTATTGATATTGGTTATCTTTGAAAAAATAGATCTATAAATTTTTAAAACCTATAAAATATAATCCAC